CATGCGAGTTAGATGAAAGTAGAAAGCAGGATTTATATTTTGTTTTATATTTATATTCTATTTTGTTGAAATGAGAGATATTCCTTTCAAAATATCAGATACCATACATCACATGTATTGGGAGTAAGTTTTTAGACTTGTTTTCACCCTCCGTGGAACCACTTAAATAGTAGTTGCTCGAGTTGAAACAAGCAAGTGTGTATTTTCTTGCTCAACTGATTAAATGTGACTCCTCAGAAAAAAATCACCACTTATGGAATAACAATAGCGAAAACTATGATCAGAATAATCGAAAAGAATTATATATATACCAAATATTGACTCGTATTTCTATAGACACTGCACACACACACACACACACACACACACACACACACACACACACACACACACACACACACACACACACACACACACACACACACACACACACACAGGGTGATAAAACATCTGTAGCTTTACTAGAGTTTTGCGTTCGGTTCATGTCCTTTAATGGAAATTATAATTTAGCATGTTTTATTTATTGTGTTTAGTTTCTGGTTCTAGCGAAAATGAAACTCGCTCCATTAATTCGAATAGCCGCTAGTACATGGTGCAGCTACGATAACCATTTACAAAAGTATCGGCGATTTTGAAGATTTTTATTCTAAGAATGCAACGTTTTTTAAGTTTCAAGGAATATGCAGTTGCTGTATAGAAAGCCTCACCTCCATTGGTGTTGCCATTTCGAGAAACAGTTCCAGGAAATCGCATTGGAAAAATATACCACTGCAAATAAACGATAACTAATTCACTTGTGTGAAGAAAACGAAAGATGAAATAGCTTACATAGTTTCCAAAAATAGATGCTAATACACTTATTGGTCATTTATATTCTACCATGCACTCATTGAGTTTTCGCCTCATTCATAAAAATACTATTTACGCTATGTTTTCATCGAAGTGGCTGCCAGATATTCAAAAGTGGGATCCTGCAAGTGTACTGAAATATAATTCTGCAACTGTACATATACACATATATAAATAAAAAATACCGACCTTTTCATTCAAATTTCGCACCTCCTTTAATTAATTCACTATAAACTACCTTGAATAACTTACATTATGTCCACAGTGAGAGTTTTCATCGCCTCCACGTTTCGGTAAAGGCTATCCTCATATCAATAATTCACTGTTACTACACATACCAAATATGTTGTTCCACCCCCCCCCCCAAAAAAAAAAAAAAAAAAAAAAAAATACAAATAAAAATCTGCATATTCTTGAATGTATATGTAATTGAAATAAGCTGATACTCGTAAATTGTTTCGCCACGATAAACGTTACGACAGGTTTGGGGCATCTTGTTATGTCTCTCTCACGGAAATGTGTTAACGACCTCGTAGGCATTTTGAGAATTCACTCGTTGCGAGACACGAGCGAGTAAATTTATGTAAACGTACGTTCCCTCTGAAAGGAAGTTATGGGGTGACTATGCACCGCAACTGCTAAATTATTGAATAATTTGCCTCGACCTTCGCTTGTGCAACGTAATTCTTCGTCGCCCTAGCATTAAAAGTGGGTCGTTTCCTAATTATTCAATTAATTCCTTTTTAGAATTAAAGGATTAAGCATTTGATTTCCACTGACTAGGTTAGGATGGGTCTCTCACACACACACACATATGTATATGAATATATATATATATATACACACATATATATACATTATATATACATGTATATATATATTTAAATATATGAATGTATATATTAAATTATATAAATTATATATATATATATATATATATATATATATATATATATATATATATATATATATATATATGTATGTGAGTGAATATATATTCACTTTCATATTTTCTATGAATATCAGTACATTATTTAAGATAGTTATGTATATAAATATGAGTGTGTGTGTATGCGTTTGTACATCTATCTATCTATCTATTGATACATGTATATAAATACATACATATATGCATACACACACACACACAGACACACACACATATATATATATAGTTTGTTTATTTATTTATTCATATAATTACACACACACATATGTCTGTATAGACAGATAGATTTGTGTGTATGTGTGTATACATATGTGTATATATGTATGATATACAGTAATAATCATGGAAACAATTTAAAGAATAAAATATTATTTTTCCTCACCTCATGCGCTGTTAACGTCAGTCACTTCCCTTTATTCTGTAGTTCTCTTTTCGTTGATATTCCTCACATTACGTTGTTTTCTTATCTTTCACTCAACCCACTGCAACTGTGAATGTGCCTCTTATCACAACAAACAACTCACTTTTTCATGTACGAAAAGATAATCCATAATTATTATTATCATTATTATAAATTACTGTTTTCAAGATTCTTGCGGATATGCGCCTTTTTCATGGAACACACTGAGGAGTGGCCATACACAAGTAGAACAAATAAGTAGAAGTATAAGATTCATTTCACTCATGCACTTGGCAACTGCCATGATATCACGCGGAATGCACTGATTAGACAGCAGACATCGAACGAGTAGTGATAAGAGCATTATCACTACTCTATATCCAACAGAGAGAATTTAAACAAACACATGCTCAACTACATACTCAAACATAGTGGATTTTAATGTCTAGTATATATGACAAAAAATGACAAACTTTCTAAGTGACATGGGATAACAAGGATAAGATTAAGGGCACCATGAGGCTTTGAGGCGACTAGTTAGGACAACCTCGGATATCATGGGGAGGAACTACATCAGCCCAGGAACAAAGTGGTGAAAGTCTCAAAATGAATGTCCCTCCCTAACATTAGATGGCTATTGTCACAAACAGCCGGACGTTGCTATCTTTACAGACAAGCATGGCGGCGCGGACTTGAGACGAGTTATAGTAATAAAAAACGCAGTTGGGTAAAGCAGTTTAGTTATTGTTTATATAATGTTTTTCTCTATTATTAACATAATATGCAATGCAGTAGGGTAAAGCAGTCTATACTATACCATAGTCCTAATAAAGGAATTTGTTATTAAATCCAATGAGGCAAAAGATTTGCTACGCTGTGTTGAATCTGACACTAAAGACATGTTGAGACGTATAATAAAGTTCTTGGGTTTATGTTTTTGTGTTATTCACATTTTTAGTGAACATGATCTTTAAATATATACAATAATTAATAGTTAAGCTTCACACAAAAATATTGCTCTGTCCAACTGCAAATGCCGGTTCACAGCATCACAGGTTGATCCGACGGAAGGAGGGGGGAGTCCAGGGCCCCAGGCCGATATGTCCGGTTTTCGCGTCACACAAATGTGGCAACACTAGACAGTACGTGTGCCTCGGCGTGTGTGTGATGTTAACAGTTTATGGACGGTCACTTGGGTAAAACAATTAAACAATAAACAATAAATAATAAACAATCAGTCATTTAGAATGATCCCATGTCTCATTCTCACACAAAGACGTGTCCTCTCTCTGTTTTACTGATGAAATAAGAGGACATGTCTATTTTCTAGAGATCTTCATTTTTAAAGGACATGTTATTTTTTGTAAAGAACATGTCCATTTTTAAAGGTAGGTAACGTATCCAATATTACTTGAAATGTATTCCAATACCATTGTTATTAATGTAAAATATTTGTAGAATTCGATCGCAGAGCGTATCTTTAATGGCAGTGATGGAAAAGTTTTGTATCAACACGTTTCTAGTAGATTATTCCAATCTAGTTCAATCACATCACATGTTTCCGAATAATTATAATCATAACCGTAAATAAATGGACATGTCCTTTAAAAAATGGACGTGCCCTTTTACATTGGATATGTTCTTTAAAAATGGACATGTCCTTTAAAAATGGACATGTTCTTTAAAAAAATATATATATTCTTTAAAAACTGGACATGTCTTTTAAATACTGGACTTGCCCTTTAAAAATGGACATGTTCTTTAAAAATGGACATGTCCTTTAAAAATGGACATGTTCTTTAAAAAAATATATATATTCTTTAAAAACTGGACATGTCTTTTAAATACTGGACTTGCCCTTTAAAAATGGACATGTTCTTTAAAAAAATATATATATTCTTTAAAAACTGGACATGTCTTTTAAATACTGGACTTGCCCTTTAAAAATGGACATGTTCTTTAAAAATGGACATGTCCTTTAAAAATGGACATGTTCTTTAAAAAAATATATATATTCTTTAAAAACTGGACATGTCTTTTAAATACTGGACTTGCCCTTTAAAAATGGACATGTTCTTTAAAAAAATATATATATAAAAATGGACGTGCCCTTTTACATTGGATATGTTCTTTAAAAAAATATATATATTCTTTAAAAACTGGACATGTCTTTTAAATACTGGACTTGCCCTTTAAAAATGGACATGTTCTTTAAAAAATGGACATGTCCTAAAATTACTTTTAATTGATTGTACTGTGATGTTCTATTATATTACTTAGGTGAACGGCCATACCTTATTAACACTGCATATGCACACATAGTGCTTTGTGCACTGTACATTTATACATAAAAAAAGTTTAGAAACATGGACACATCCTCGTATGAGAATCAGACATGAAATAATTATTGCTGATAGATAGCACTGCGAGGAAGTTGTTGGTGTTTCATCACTAATGAATGAACATGACCTTGTGTGAGAATCAGACATGGGATAATTCTTACTGATCGATTGCACTGTGACATTGTTTTATTATTTTACCCATGTGACTAATCCATACACTGTTAACATCACACACGCACACGTACTGTTTTGCATAGGTAAAGATTAATTTATATTGTATTGGTTTTTATATTATTTTTATAAATTCTGAACACTCACAAGTGCGTTCTAGTAGTCTGTTTATTTCGTAAAAGAGCTGGTGAAAACAGCTTAACTAGATATTTATTAACAATCTGTCGTCAGGAAGTATTTGAATTTTGTTTCTAGTTTTCATTTCATAATGAAGATAATTACCCAGGATTCAATTTCCAGATGGGTAATGTGCTCTACACATGTTTTTATTATTATAGTGCATTCATTACATTACATTTGAGCGTAAATAGAAATTGATTGTAGGTAAGCGGTGTCGTTGCACAATTAAGCTAATTGGGAAGTCCGTTATAAGGATAAGGATATTTCCGATGTGCGAAGCTGAGCCTCGCCCGGGCTCTGAGGGGAGCCCGGCCTCGCCCGGGCTCTGAGGGGAGCCCGGCCTTTGTCGACTGATGTCGACTCGCTAACAGTGTGTCAGCTGGTGCTGATTCGGCTTAGTCCTTACCCGCCGTGGTACCCAGCCACAGCAGTAACCTCCAGGCGACAATTGCAACTTCTCGCGCCTGCGCGAGGATGCGAACCGCCGACCCCCCGGATGAAAGGCCGACACATTACCACTGTACTAGCCCGGAGGCTAAGTCCGTTATATTGACACGCAGTATAAATAACGATCGTTTGTCGGTAGAAAGTCTCGTTACGCTGTTAGGCTAAATGGAATGTCCGCTGTTTTCTCGCCAATGCAGGTGAAATTTAGGTGGGCTAATTGTTGGCAACTTATAATCAAATATCCATTTTCTACATTTATTGAGATAACCACCAACACTCCCTTACTTATAATATCACTAAGTTAAAATGGAAAGAAGCTAAAGCTCAGAATCAAATTTACGATTACTGTTCATTTTCTTAGGCGAGTATTTCTCGAAATATAAATATCACTATCTCTAAATAAAAAACGGAACTATCCTACCCAAACTCCATTTCTTCAAAGGTCAAAATATTACCAATGCTAAATTTCTAATATTACCCTACATCAAAGCCAACTGAACCCAACCCAATCTAACCTAACTAACCCTAATTTAACCTAACCTCTCTCTCTGGCTTTCTCTCTCTCTCTCTCTCTCTCTCTCCCTCCCTCCCTCCCTCCCTCTCTCTCTCTCTGGCTTTCCCTCCCTCTTCCTCAATTTATCTTTTTAATCTCTCTTTATAGCTCTCACCCTCTTTCTATATTGCTCTCCCACTCTCTCTCTATATATATAACTCTCTCTGGCTTTCTCTCTCTCGCACTTTGTTGGTGTCTAAAGTTTTTCACTTGTTATTTTTTGGTTCTTTATTTCTTTAGTGTATATTTAACAATATTTGGTAAATATTAATTAAATAAAGTAGTGTGATGTATATGTATTTCGTGTTTTAGCTTACAAATGCTTTGTTTGTTATTATTAAAAGGGGTACTAGATGGGGGCAGGCCGCTTGCAAGAGACGTTCTTCTTTTGTGCTGACATTCACCTCTCTCTCTCTTTGCTGGCTCTCTCTCTGTGTCTCTCTTTGCTCTCTCTCTCTCTCTCGTATGTATTCCAGTAATTTGCAACTGAATTCCAACTGTCTATTGTCTCTAGCGTATTTGTACGGAAGGATCTCGTATTTGTTTACTCTCCTTGGCTCTCTCTCTCTCTCTCTCTATCTATCTCTAACCTAACCTCACCTCTCTCTTTACCTGCCCCCCTCCCCGCTCCCTCTGGCTCTTTATATCCCTCTCTCTCTCTGTCTCTCTTTTTGGTTTTCTCTCTCTGTGGCTCTCTCCCTTGTCTTGTGCACTGTACATTTATACATAAAAAAATGAAATAAAGCATTGCCGATAGATTGTACCCTGAGGAAGCTGTTATTCTATTTTACCCAAGTGACTGTCCATACACTATTAATATCAGAGAGAGAGCCAAAGAGAGGGAGCCAATGAGAGAGCCGAAGAGAGAGAGAGAGAGAGAGAACCAAAGAGAGAGAGGGAGAGAGAAACCCAAAGAGAGAGAGAAAACCAAAGCGAGAGAGTCAAAGGGAAAAAGAGACCCAAAGAGAGAGAGTTAGGTTAGGGTTAGATTAGGTTAGGTTGGGTAAGGTTGGGTGTAGAGAAACATCAGACATCTAGGAAGATTGATTTTTGGACTCTTGGAAAATATTGACCTTGGGGTATTAGTTCACGTGTAAGGAAACATTGGACATATAACATTTCAAATTTTTCGACCTTATACAAATGATCAATAGTTATTTTTCTCTCTAATGCAATAGACGTTGGTCAAATAAAGAAATACAGTCATAATATATATATATATATATATATATATATATATAGAGAGAGAGAGAGAGAGAGAGAGAGAGAGAGAATGGGTGGAATAAAAAGACAGATGGTGCCTGTACAAAGGTTTTGGAATACCGTTTCACTGCTGGAGCATCTTTATTATATAATAGTTTGTTGTAACTATACAGATAACCTTTGGAATGATTCTACATACCCAAATAAACATACGTAATATATGCATTGTGTTTGTATTCATCATATTAGAGAATTTTATTTTCAGTGAAACAATGTTAATGGTGCTGCTGCTGTTGCTTTCTAGATCCGTCACATATTTTGTTTGTTAACCAAAATCAATATCAACATTATATATAGATGGGCGTTGATGACTAGTTTTCGCAATATAATATCGTCAATCCCTTAC